ATAAGCTCTGAGGTTTTGAACTTCAGTTTTCTCCAACACAGATTTCACATTCATAGGGCGCCTACATTCAGTTATTTTTAAATTTATGGTGGGTGACTGCATGGAAAATATTTGTTATATAGACAGCAAAAAGTAACTTTTCAAGATCTGAATCAAAATACGCCCATCATTTGAGGTCCAGCTCCATGGGCAAATATATATCAAATTGTATTTCTTGACAACTTCTCCAGTCACTACACATGCAAGACTTTGTTGGACATGCCTCACACATTCAAGATGTTTTGAGAACATGCAAACGTCTTTTGACATTGCCAAAATCCTTTTAGCAAGTTTCAGAAAATGCCAATAAAACTGAATGGGGTTGCCAAATTTGACTACCAATAAGTACATGTACAATCAGCAGCCAGTATTGTTTCAATCGATTTTTTTTTCAGAGCTACCGGTAATAACATTTTATGGACTACCATTTTGTGAATTCTACATAAGAGCATCAGTCTAGTGTCACAAACCAAAAGTGAAAATGAAAATTTGTGACATCAGGTCAACTATTCCCGTTGCACTGTCACAAGAGTTGAACCAGTTTCTCCTTATATCAATCAGCCTGTAAGGTACATGTACATTTTTAGCGATGTGCAAGTACTGTATGTGAATACCTATGCATAACTTCTAAACAACATTATTGTCCAGGCAATTATTACAAAGTTCCGCAGTAGTAACTTTCACATTCCAGGGTTGACTAAATACACTAGTTAAAAGTACACGATACAATGACACACGGTGCACGTCTCAATCTCAATCCCTACACCTTTATATTATGTGCTACCCATCCATACACGTCACTTACACTACATGAAGTACAGCCACCCAGTTCATTTCTGTACTAGTGCACTTAACTTGAGAAACCTATGTATTTTAGGCACCTGCCTTTCTTGCAACTATTTCCTTCTACTTTCCACGGACTAGCCAGCTTTCCAGTACTTACACACTCCATGCAACACCAGGGCTAAACAGGACCCAACAAAAAATGGATGATTTATGGTTTCTACAGTAAAAGCTAAAGATGTGTGCATAATCTACCCTGGTCAGACATGCAAAGTATCCATATATCACAGCACTACTGGCCCTGGTTTTTTTTCTAATGTGACACTCCCTTCACTACTAGACGATCAGATCAAACAATCTGTCATCAGCGTTGGCACAGTCCTGCAGACGTGTGCGCTGGTTGGAGTATGCAAGCCAGTAATGGCAGAGACCACAAAGGCAGCCGCCACTTTGCAAAGGACACCGCCGACAAAGCTAGCCTAAAGAGAATTGCAGCTGATGCAGGCATGAAAGCAAGTTGGGAGGAATAATGATGCCACACTGGTCAGGCTTGTGTTTTTTACGGGTATGGTGTGCCAGTTCTGTCATAAAAGCCTGCATCTGTATTTTGCTTCTTTTGGGAATTAAAAGGGCCAAGACGAGTAGGTATCGTACATGTACCCGGTACATACATGTGAAGTAATGCCGATAGAGGGTACTGTGCACAATCACACTTTATTTATTCATACAGCCTGCAGCTAGATGTGGAGAAGTTTCCAATTGACCAAAAATGGTCAAACACATCATAAACCTCAATATGCTTCTAAAGTTACATGTACAAGCCTTTTTTCACAAGAAAGCAATGGCAAACAACTCCCACATGCTGCTAAGGAATAAGCTCCACAAAATTACATTTGCGGAATCCTCAATATTTCACCACACAAAACAGAGTGGCCTCAAACCAGTGGCTGTCCTTTAATGTTTCCATTTCTGTAGGTGAAAGACGACTTATAATCACAGTGGACAATGACAAAAAATGAGGCGTGACACTGTAAACTCACCACTTTCACCTGAAAATTGTGAAAACCTACTCGTATTAAATCTGTCACCCTGTAGGAATCAAGTGACACCTGTGACAGTGGATAGGTTTCTTGTACAAATCCACTGTTTATGTTTTCAGTAATCATCTGAAATCTTCAAAGATCACTAGGTGGAGCTCAAGGAACTTTGACTGATGAATACACTAAAGTCTAATCTGACAAAAAAGCTGGGTTGAAATATATACCTGTGCAATTTTAATAGCCAGTTTCAACACTTATGTTGGAGTGAAGGAAACAATGCTCACTAAAACTGGTACACCGTCGTAACGGAACATTCACCTTTACACAAAATGTGCCTGCAGTTTGTGATCAAGTACAGTGTGCTTATCCCGAAGGGTTGAGCTCGCACCTTTAATCACATCAATCTTACACTCCCTACATTAATTTCTGTAATTTAAAAAAAAAATCAAAATTGATTCTGTAATATACTACATGTAGTTCGGGTGGCACTCTACAACTTCGTCAGTTTGTTTTCCATGTCAACGTTAATATACAAGTACATTGTAAGAACTGCATGAAATCCTGATAGGGACATTCTGCTACAGTGAAGTAAACAACCATAACGTTTGCATACATGTACATGTACATGTATGCACATGTTACAGTTGTTCATGAACATGTATGTGCATGTACCCATGCAGTGACTAAATGTAGAATGCGACACAAGATCCCCTGTTTTTTAAGGGGAGGGGTCACTTTTTGAGCTATTCCCTGAATTTGATTGCAGCCGCTTGTTCTAATCTCATTTTCTCCTTTGGATTATTACACACTAGTTCTTCATATATGTTGGGGTAGAAGTGCCGCATGTGATGGATGTGCTCTGGCCCGATATGCCAACTACGATTTCAAGTAACCTCTTCCCCATCTGGTGTCAGATGGTAAGGGATATGACACGGCCATCAGGCCCGCAGAGATAAGACTTGGGACAACATCAGAAAACTTAGACTCTGCTCAGCTCAAATTGCCTGTCAGTCGATCACAACGGTGGGCAACTGGAGGTTGCAATATGCCAATGCATCATCAATCACAGGCTGTTATTCAATGGATTAATAATCATTCCCCCTCCCCCCTTCAACGTCACTAAAAATATCCAGGAAGTCGCGATAGCAAATGCCTGGGTGGCTTGGTAGAAAACGCTATAATGTCACTGAGTTTTGCCTTTTTGATAGCACCATGTGCACTAAGATTAATTTCTTTCCACCCTCATTTTCAATAATTCACAGTATAGAAGACTTTTGATTGAGCAATTCTGTAAAAACCAAGCACACAAAAAGTATTTCATTATTTCACGATAACCACTTTCACATTAAACAAAGCACTTAATTAGCAATTGAAACCCGCATGAATATGTGCACCCCACGAAGGCTTGCACTGTAAGTTGATGGGGGCACTGAACACTTTTATGATGAAACACGTTTCCGGAGCAAGCTTGAGCACATCCGTACATGTAACAATTTTTGTTCAATCCTCTTCAAAATTAAACTACTGCCATAATGAGAACATAAAAAAATGTCTTGTTTCAATCTTTAAATGTACGCTGTTTCTCGTTCTCTTATCTCAAGAGATCTCATTATGTGTACACGTACACGTGCATGGATCTTTTCATACACTGCACTAAAGCAGTATTTAGGGTACGGTGTTCAATTGGCTCTATGGTGTGTATGCGGGATATTTAAACATCTTTTCACACATGCAGTGCACAGCCAGCAATCTACACACAGCTCATCTCAACCATAATAGCGAGCACTCAAGTGCAGGAGGTAATCAAAGGCACTGAAGCGACTCGGGGCCCGAGCCCGGGAACAGTTTTTTTAGAGTGCGCAGCCCGTTCCAAGTCAGTCAATCACATGACAAATGAAGACAGGCAATCGTGGCAGCTCTCTAGCCCTGCCTGCACGCGCCTGTCGTGTGTGTGTGTGTGTACACACTATACACTGGGCACAGCGTTTGGTTGATGTAAAGCGCGCAGGACTTCAATACACCATCCTGTCTCCAAAGACACTTCTGGCTGTCTGGACCTATATGATCAGGCCATACACCGCTAGGCCAGTTATTCATAACATCATATTAATGAAGACAGCCGGTGAAAAGGAATAAGGCTCCTTCAAGTAGCAGGCGAGGGGACGAGCATTACCCTCATTGACCGAGCCGATTCAGGGCCTATTTATCTAGCAAATACCCCTCGACACACACGAACAAGAAGCTAATTACCCACAATCGTATGCATTGCACATGTATGCTGGATCATTTATTTACTGTAGTTTTGAGTCTGAAAGTTTGGTTATGGACTACACAGAAGAAAAAAAAATGCAACCAGAGAATGCACACTGTATGAGCAATGTCTCTCTCCTTTTATGAGGTACTTTTAAGCTGGAAGCTTGGAAAAAGGTAATACCTTTTTTTTTATGTGTATCATACAGACACAGCTTCTCTACACATGTACAAATGTTCTTACAAGCTGCCTGATTTCTATTGACACAGTAAATATAAATATTATCTGTACAGACCTCCATGTTCATGTGCCATATGCTCATGGATTATGCTCGTAAGTATCACTTGCTTACTCCGCAAATCGAGCAATGCGCGATTTTTCCAGGTTTTTTTTCTGATTTGATTCATCTAATCCCAGTAAAGGAAGACAAAAGGCTTTCTGTCCGAAGGCACATGAGAGAAGTCCAAAACTTCTTGGTCCAAAATCTCTCCCCTTACAGAGTGCCAAAGTGTGACGTCACTGTAAACCAAAAAGTGCAGTGCAAATGAATGGAGTATGCGCATATGGTGGTTCACGCACTGGTTCCCTTGCTAATGCCTTTTACACACATACTTTACTTTAAGTGCACGTGACGTACCAGGTATTCACTTCAGTAATCTAGGCCTACCGGTGTTTACAAGTAGCTGAAAGATACCTGAAAAAGGGATCTCACATGATTTGAAATGATCCTTTATACAAACACATTTTCTTTTGACTATTCTAACTGGATTGAAAAAAAAATAGTCACACTTGTGGGCCTTGCATGGATTCTTTCTGCTTCTGAAAATAATGCAATACTACCAGCAGGTGCACTCTTCTTGTAACTGAACCAATTGTCAAACTCTTACTGAGTTTAGCTGACATCCATGGTATTGCACATGCTCTGGTAAGGTAAGTTGTACAGGTACACCACATGGAATTGTGTCATCAGTTCCTCACCTGCACTGTTTGAGGACAACAATTATGGTTATGCAGTCAAAACATACATGTACATGCAGTCTGTGCGTATGTGCGAATGATACCTGACCGCACTGTACTTGAACTTGGAAGATCATGATGAATGTGTTACCACTATTGTATAATTGTGTGCACGAGGACGAGTCTTGCTTGAACTCAAGTGCTACCACGTACATGTACGTGCAACTGCACACTGGTATGCTCGCTTTAATGTTGTTGGTTAGCTGGTACTCTGTATCCTCGGTCATTCCCCTGTTAAACATTATCATGTGTTCAATGTGCTGTGTGATATCAACCGTGCCCATCTGTGCCTCCAGCAATCTGCACAAACATGCACAAACACCAACCACAACCAGCTCAAGCACCGACGCACAGCGTACAAGATTTCACATTACAGACTCTTGAAATAAGGAGCCCCAAGTGCTAGAAATCTTCAACTATCCAATCATGAACTACTGATGACCCAATGCCAAGAAAATTGATTTCATTTATACATCAGTCATAAATTCTTGGGAAACAGTTTGAAAAAACTATTTTGTGAACTTCATTCTATGTACCTCCTCACAATTTTTTTTGGGGGAAGCTATCTCTAGATTTTTTTACTGTAGACCTGTCTTGGTATGACCTCATTAATAGCTTGGAATTGTTAGCTTCAAATCCAAATTATAATGTCTGTACCAGAGAATGCATCCTCTCTTCTGTCAAAGGAATGATTAGAGGCATAGTGCTCTAGCAATGCAACCAGGCCACTTGGACAAGGCACACGCTCTGTCACTGTGATCATGTGGTCAGCGGCTGAGAACTTCAGCTTCCGATCAGCACGATGTGCCCCGCGATCAAGTATCCAAACGAGATAGACAAGCGCTGAGAGTGTCACCCACATTAACCTGGGCCAGTCTACTTGAGTCTCTCCAGCACTGCCGCTGGCCATCGGCGTGTGGGCAGACAGGCAGACAGGCAGTGAGAAAATCAATTTTCAATTTAAAACTAGTTTCCTGTGTGTATCTCATTAAGAGAGCTTGGTGCTCCTTAAAAATATATTAATCCTTGTTGTGCTAATAAAAAATACCGGTAGGATTTCTGTCTGCTGACATGTAAATTTATTTCTGTATCGTTAAAAAAAAAAGTTAAATGCTTTTAGTATGTGGCATTCCACTATCAACATTTGTTTTTGTACTACAATATGATGGCCAACAAGCTGTCATTGGGACAAAATGTAAATTGCATGTGTCCCTGAGTGAATTGAGGCTCCGGCTAATAAATGTGACTGACAGACTACCTGGCCCTGGTGTGGCATGCCTTGCTAACAGCTATAGCATGAATTACTCATAATGTGTGAGCACAAATCAAACCACGCACAACTGAATTAGATTCCATGAACATGCTACTCTAGCCCATGATGTAGGCCTAATTCATAGTGTCTCGCGAGTTGCTCTCAAGTCTTCTATTGAAAATTCACTGTTAATTAAAAGGTTCTGCATACCGATACAATCACACTTTTCCTGTAATTGGGAACCTTTTGCTGGGCTTTGATGTACATGTACATCTCACTTGAGAATTGATAACAACTATTAATTGTAACAAGTACTGGTAATCAATTCAGGCTTAGATCTGTTTTTTTCTAATGATTCAAATTTTCATCGCCCAAGGACTATTTTGAAATGGGTCTTTTCTTCCACAGTCATAACCCACATTTGAGGGAGGAAGAGGAAAATCCACTAACAGGTATTAAAAGTTCCAGTGTCCTTGGCAAGGTAGTGTAACCACAATGCATTTTGCACATAGTACAACAACCTTCTGCAGAGGATACAGCCAAATGTTTTGCTTCAGTTAAAAGAGATTAGAATAATTGGACTTTCCTTTCAACCGTGCTCTTAAAGCCAATGCACCCGTGGTGCGTTTCAAGAGATACCTGAGCTGCATGTAATTATTGGGAACTTGAACCATGTTCAGAGGAAAATTTGTATTCTTCTGTGATAAAGCTATTCATCTGATTTAATCCAAAGCCCCATCGGCTTTCTTGAGGCACTCTGTTAAATGCAACAAACCCCAACAAAGCTGGAATGAGAATCCTTCCGAATGCGATGAAAGGCAAGTTCACTGGTTCTTGCTGTGTGATGGTGCACTGCACTTGGCAAATATACCCGTACATGTACGTACATGTAGTTTTAGCCTTAGCACTACACAGTTACACCTGGTGTGGAGAACAGACACCTGTCACTGTTGCTGACCACTATATCAAACACAGATGGAGTCAGGTTGGCCCAATCCAACTTCCCTTACCTTTCACCTCTGTGACCCCGGTTTAAATCCCAACCAGGTTGAAATACCTACATGTATGTACTGTACTAGGCCTAATATGACATGGGCTCACAGGCCCCCCATCCCAATATTTGTGCTCCCACCTCTAAAACTGAACATTTCTTTATTTGGCTTCTCTCCATGGAACCCTAGGGAGCCTGTGAGAACATTATACAACTGATAGGGCTTTATCCTGGTTTGATACCGTACTATATACCCTGGCACAGCAGTATGGTACCATACACGTGCAACAACTTTTGACCAATTGTATAATTCTGAGGAGTAATCTGTTTGTACTGGGCAAAATAAGATGAATCATGGAAGAATACACTGTTTATGGTTCAAAATTTGGTTGCCAGTAATACATACATGTATGTACAGGTACTGTACGTAATTAACTGAAAGGTTCATGTAATGTACATACATACATAAATGCCGCCATCAGCAAGTGCATCATATGGGGTCTTTCTGTGCACAACTACATGTACATGTACTGTACATGTATCATGATACCGCACACTGCTTGAAATCTCTCCTTGGAAATAACGGTATCTCGTAATTTGCACCATTTCAAATGTACAGGAAAGAACTGGATTCTTTCAGAAGAACACTGAACCCTTTCACATACCAGTTCAATGTACTGCCACATTATGCATGTGTGTGCAGTGCTATGGCATATCATACAGTGTACTATAGTAGCTTTAAGTCCATCCCAAGTAAAGTAAAATAAACAAATGAAAGGGTGAAAAATCAGCAATATAACAATGCATCGCTGAACATCTCGATGTAAGAAAAACAAGTGGTGGAAGAAAACGAGCGTCTGCTTTCCATACTCCACGGATATCAAGAGGAAGTCCAAAAGAGGAAGTAAGTTCGCCTATAAAGAGGTCCAGGCCTGGGTTTACTAAATCGCAATTAGGAAAATATGATATCTGAGCACTTTTCAGATATAACACTGAAAGAGTAAGTACCCTCAAATATAAAAACATGTTATAATGCTTCTTAGTTTTGATGGGAGTTTTGTAAAGTGTAGTGGTACATCAGCGTGAATCAAGTGCCAACACTGACCAGCCACAGCCATATGAACCTAATGAAGATCCAATGAAAAATATCACTTGACTGGACCACTGCAAATACATGTACATGTAATGAAACCTCAAAATAGACACATGAAAGCAGAAACTAGCTATGCATAAAGAGAAAGCAACACACAGTTCTGTAGACTAACTCGCTGCAAAATTTCTGAAGTTTTTGATAGTTTCATGATTTGGGGCAGTTGACACTCAGAATGTACATGTACGGTACCTACAAGTATACTTCACACTGTTCATAGGGGGTCACTAGCTCACAACTGATCCATATCGTTCTCATTATTTTCAGTGGTGGGAACTACTGTAGTGTATCATGCACGCATCACCTTGTGAGATTCTACCTTACAATGCACAGGGTGCAAGTTGCTTCACCATGTGAGAAAACAGACTTTACAAGTTATCAATTACACATGAGATTGATAATCTGTCTTATTTGACAACCACAGGTAGGTGTTTGTTTGAAACATGCTAAATGTACAAGAGGTGGAGGCCATCTTGACTGCTGAATCATCAGTGCTTCCTGACTTTACCATAGCACATGTGTACACAACTCCAAACTCCTCAAGATTTCTGACAGATTTGCCCCAATTCCATCTGATTTGTGTGTGTGTGTGGGTTTGTAGCTCTATGGTGTGACTAAGAGCAAAGCAGATGTGCTGGGCCACGATAGCAAGGTGTGCGATGAAAGACAGCCGCACTATTGGGTAAAGCTGTCAATTGGATGAACAAATTGGCAAATGCAAGACCCTTCCATTGCGTGGACCCGTGGGGGGTGGATGCACAGGGGCTAGTAGTAAAGAACATGAAAGCTGAAATTGACTTCATTTTTCCGACATAACTGTGAATGTATGGTATTGTGGGCTCCATAAGGGACAAAAGATGACATTGGAAACCAGTAGCATGATCAATGTGCATTTGGTAGATATATGATGTCTTCACTTGGCAAGGCCTACAATGAGCACACATGACCAATTTCTATTGGAATGTACAGACTAAAAGCGCGCTGTCCAAATGCCTGATGGAAACCCGTCCCTGCTAACCTCTCTCTTTTTTACCAGTGAAGGGGTGCTTTTGCACCGAGTAGATACATGTACCAAGACTGATGAGACTGGTCAACATAACTGCCATCTATCACAGTATAGGTGCAAAGATGCAAGTTTGGAAACTTCTGTCTGTACAGAGCGTTTCTTCAACACAAGTGAGTGAACAAATACCTACTGGGTATTTGAGTAAAGAAAGGGCCCTCTTGTGGCCGTGCATATGTACCTTGCTGAAAACATGAAGAGGGCAACATTGTACATGTGAACACTGTAAACTTCTAACATGTTACGAAGCTCACTAGGAAACTTTCTGAGCACTGTCTCTTGTGAGAGATCCATCCACAAAAATGGACGGTGCCAAAACTGAGAGGGTCCCTGAGGCCAGCATCTCCTTAGAGTTTGAGCATAATGGGCACAGACACTAGGTGACAAATCTGTAATTGCATTGGCTCCACATCTCATCCCAGGATGTAGACAAAGGAAATCCCCAAAAACCTTGCCAGCCAAACTGCATTTGCCCCTGCCAGTGGGATCTCTGCATCCGGAAAGCAGCGCACAACCACTGTATGTCTGCAAAAAAAGGGCAAGCATCATATAACCTTGAAATGTGGGGTAG